CTTTATTCACGAATGTATCCCAAACACCCAGAATAAACGTGTTGACTGAAGCATCAACATAAAGGTAATTGAAGGTTTTTAAATATGCATATTTGTTCACCAAGAGAATGGGGCTAGCCTGAATTTCAGCAAGGGTGGCAGGAGAACTCAGAAGAAAGTCCTGGAGAGGCCCAAAATTCCAGGTGTGTGAGGGATGGGGGAGGAACTGAAATTTGAGGCAAGGACGTTGTCACAATAGTTGTTAGGCCAATGCTTTGTGGTGGTAACCAGGTTTCATGAGGTTACTGAGGGACTGGTTTAGAAGCTGAGGTCATTTCCTTGTCACTAAGTGACAAGGAAAAAAATGGGTGTTGAGATTGGGAGCACAAAGGCTCTAGAGAAGGTCGGGAAAGCTGTGACGAATCTGCAGATTAATAGCGTTACAAGTGGGACTTGATGGGAAGCTAAACTGAATTTGTGGTGGGGTTGGAGGAAGCCATGTCCAAGGCAGGGCCATGTAGGGACTTGTCACTCCCTGGAGCACTCAAGAAATAGAAATGAGTGCCTCCTTGAAAGCACCTGAATTGCTACCATCAAATGACACCATCAAATACAGATTTATACCTCAGGAAATCAGCATGTACAGAGCTGGCTTGGCCCATTGGTAGGAGCCGGGGATTAGAGGATATTTTAAGGACTTTACATTGGCCTGACGTTTGTCTGTTCACCATCCTTCCACCCATTCATTCCATCACCAGCAGTCATACTGAGCGTGTACTTGGTGTCTGGCTATGAGCTAGATGCTGGAGGAGCATGCCTTCCTTCAAGGAGTGTGCGATCAGTAGGGCAGTCTCCACGTTACTGTGCCTCCTAGCAGTCCTGCCTGATCACATCCTGGTCCAGCAGGATGGAGGGAAACAGGGAGGCCATGCTTAGGCAGAAAAAGCCAGGAAACAGCAAGTTTGTTGTTGTAGAGTCTGAACCCTGCTTATTTTGGTAAGCTTTCTTGTCTTTTTAATATTCTGGGTTCCATTCCCTTTCATTTCTCCTCCAGGCTTTGGCTACAATCCTTTAAAAATTTATACCCCATCCTTGAACCAAAGCAAACAAAAGAATGGAATTAGAGGTTAAGGCTGTTTGGGTCACGTCCTCTTGAGTGAGCTTCACCAGGCCTGGGCTTCTTCCTGTCCCCAGGATGCTGTAGCCAGAGAGCAGGTGAGGGTGGCTGGGGTACCGCACAGGTAATGGCAAGAGCAGAGAGAGGCTGGGGCCGGGGCTGAAGGAGGGAGGCACAGGCTCTGGCAACCCAGGCCTTCCTGCCTACTCATTCTCCCCACGTTCTTTCTCTTGCCAGTCAAGGCAACAGGGCCTGCTTTGTGTACGGGATTGACGGTGATCACAGCTGCATCTAGGGGTATGGTGGTACACACATGGAGTCCCAACTGCTCAGGAAGCTGAGGCAGGAGGATCACTTGAGCCCAGGAGTTTGAGGCTAGCTGGGCAGCAGAGCAAGACCCCATCTCAAAAAAGAAAAAGCCCCCACACAGCTGCATCTGGGGCCTCAGGCTTTGCCCTGTTGGGGCCTGGGAACTGCCCCTCCAAGGACCTCTTGGAGGGTATTGTCCAGGTACTGATGGGGTGGCCCTGGGAATTCCCAGAATTGGGGGAAGGGAGGTTGGAGAGTTAAGAGGGAAGAGTCCTCCAACTATAAAAGGAACACTCTGAATACAGTTCTCCACAGTAAAGGGCTCTGCCTGGCATAGGGGCAGAGGGTCTTGCTGTCCTGCCCCCAGTCCTAAGACTCCCTCCAGAGACTTCCGGCTATCTCTGGTGCTCCCAACTAGGCAGCGGGAGGGCTGAACTGGCCTCCTTTAGATCGGGTGCACCAGGGCCCTGACAGGGTGAGAGGGCCGCTGGAGGATGGTGCTTATCACCCAGGCTTCTTCTTGACCCTGCCCCACTGGGTCCTTGGCCTTGGCCTTCGCCTCTCAGACGCGATGCAGGACCAACCCCCAGGAGAGCACTCTGGGGAGAAGGGCACACCTGCCCACGCATCCATGCTCTCTGGCTCAGTCGCTGCAGCACGAGGCCTCTCAGGTCTGCACCCTACATTCTGGCCCCTCCATCTCCAGTCTCTCCTTTGAACAGCCCTGCAGCCCTCATCAGGGAAACCCGGCCTCTCTCTCTCTCCTTCCACTCTCCATCTTACCCTTTCCTGGGTTGTCCCTCTTCTCTGGTTCCTCTCTGACCCGAAAGCGCTCCTCTCCCCTAGTTAATCAGCCATGTAAAGAGCTGGGGCTGGGCTGAGGGATGGGGATGGGCCCTCCCCAACTTGCCTTGCTCTCCCGCCTTCTCCTCACCCCTCCCAGGCCCAGCCTCTTTCCCTCCACTCTCCTTCCTCCATCTATCATCAAGGAAGGGCTCCCAGGGGAAAGGGACTTCTGGATAAGCAAGTGGAGGAGGGGTATTGGAGGATGATGGGGAAGTGCAGGCAGCTCTGCAGATGATGATTTCCTGGGTTCCTGGGGGAGGTGCCCCTCGTGAAGGTACGAGAATGCTCCAGAGACCTGTCTCCAGATCCTCCCGATGCCTGAAGGTGGGTGGAGAGGCAGGGCGGCATGGAGAAAGGGCTGGGGACTTCCAGGGGCCAGAATCCAGAACCTAGTGGGAATCAGCCCCGATGGTCACCAGCTGCATGACCATGGGCAGGTGAGTCTGTTTCTCCATCTGTCAGGTGTACAGGATACTCTCCACCCCACAGTGCCTCGCACAAAGTAAGCTCAATGACTGCTGCTTCCTGTCTCTGCTGTCAAGGTGCTGGGCCACTCTGAAATCTCTCCCCTGCATCCTGGGTTCAACCCAAAAGCTAACTCTTGTATACACCTTCTCTATACCAGGCACATTCATGCCTATCATGTCATGTAATCTCTATTTTATAAATGAGAAAGCTGAAACGCAGAGAGGTTAACAGTGACTAGAATAATAGTAGAAGGCAGAGCAGAACCAGAGAGCCTGACTCCAGAGCCCCAGGACCCGGAGTGCCAGCAGCAGCAGGCTGCTGGAGGAGCAGAGGAAAGATTTGCTGAGAAACCCAGCTAGGCAAGAGCTTCAAAGGGGCCTGGAGTAGAAGTGAGAGCCCGGGCATGTGCTGGGTGGTCTTGGAGAATTCTTTTTCCCTCCCTGAGCCTCCTCATTTTTTTGGGCAGAAGAATGACTAGATGCTTGTGAGGGCATTCACCTGCCCTGAACATTCTGTTCCCCCTGCCCCTGCAAAGGGACCCAGCATGGCACAGATAGGACAGGCTGTGGCTTAAAGCATTTCATAGGTGAAAATTGAGTCCTCCTCTTCCCCACCCTCCTTCTCTCTCCTCAAGTTCCTCACTCTTCCCCACCCCCAACCTGTCACTTGGGGCCTGTGATCAATGAGATGTAAAATGAGAAAGTATCAGGAACCAGCAAAGCATGGCGAGCAGCTGGGGCAGCCTTGCCGCCGGCTGTGATGGACTGCCAGCCCTTCGTCTCGCCAGCCTCCCACGCCCTGATGTGGGCAGCGGCATCTCACCCAGCCTGGGCTGAGGCTCCCAGCTGGACATTAGAGAGGGGGCTAGCTCTGATGAGTCCAAAGGCCTCACCTTGAAAAAGGAATGAAATCTATGGTCTTGACACGGGAAGATGAGTCTAGGCTGCATGGTTGAGTCATAAACGCAGGTTATATGATCTCACCTATAAAATGACCCCACTTCTGTTATTATGTAGAAATACTGACCCCATACTGGCATTAGCAGCCTTCTCAGGAAGTAAGATTATAGGGGAAACATTCACTTTCTACTTTATATACTTTTCCTTTGTTGGACCCTTAAAACAAATGTATATTGCTTTTATAATAATCTGATAATAAAGATATTTCCATTATGAGGAAGGCCCACAGAAATATGCATGGGCTATTGAAAATGCTCAATGTTCTTGCTTTGGGCTGGGATTTTATCAACATGGTGGGAAGGCCTAAAGCACTAGATCTCAAATCAAAGCACAGAGTCTGATTTTTTTTTTGAGACAGAATCTCACTGTGTCGCCCAGGCTGGAGTGCAGTGGCACAATCTCAGCTCACTGCAACCTCTGCCTCCCAGGGTCAAGCAATTCACCCTGCCTCAACCTCCTGAGTAGCTGGGATTACAGGCACCCATAACCATGCCCGACTAATTTTTGTATTTTTTAGTAGAGACGAGGTTTCGCCATGTTTGAGACACAGTCTCACTCTGTGGCCTAGACTTGAGTGCAGTGGCACAATCATGGCTCACTGCAGCCTTGACTACCTGGGCTCAAGTGATTCTCCCCCTTAGCCTTCCAAGTAACTGGGACTTCAGGTGCACACTACCATGCCCAGCTAATTTTTGTATTTCTTGTAGAGACAGGGTTTCACCATGTTGCCCAGGCTGGTCTTGAACTCCTAGGGTCAGGTCATCTGCCTGCCTCAGCCTCCCAAAGTGCTGGCTAGGATTAAAGGCATGAGCCATCTCGCCCAGCTGATATTTTTTTTTAATTTTTTTAAGACAGTCTCGCTGTCTTGCCCAGGCTGGAGTGCAATGGAGTGATCATAGTTCATTATAGCCTCGACCTCCTGGGCGCAGGCAATCCTCCTGCCTCAGCCTCCTGAGTAGCTGGGACCACAGGTGTGCACCAACATACCCAGGTAATTTTAAAATTATTTGTAGAAGCCGGGCGCGGTGGCTCACGCCTGTAATCCCAGCACTTTGGGAGGCCGAGGCGGGTGGATCACGAGGTCAAGAGATCGAGACCATCCTGGTCAACACGGTGAAACCCCGTCTCTACTAAAGCTACAAAAAATTAGCTGGGCATGGTGGTGCGTGCCTGTAATCCCAGCTGCTCAGGAGGCTGAGGCAGGAGAATTGCCTGAACCCAGGAGGCGGAGGTTGTGGTGAGCCGAGATCGCGCCATTGCACTCCAGCCTAGGTAACAAGAGTGAAACTCCGTCTAAAAAAAAAAAAAAATTATTTGTACAGACAGGGGTTTCCCTAGGTTACCCAGGATGGTCTTGAACTTCTGGACTCAAACAATCCTCCTTCCTCGGCCTCCCAAAGTGCTAGGATTACAGGCACAGGCCACTATGTCCAGCTTGAGTTTGATAATTTTAAAAGAGAAAATCAACAATCCCTTAAGGAGCCTGATTTTAAGACTTAATGTGTCTTAAATGTGATTTAATGTGCAATTCTTAAGACAAAGGGGGAATAGGTGTAAAAGAGGTCCTTGGTGTTCACAGCCTAAACCTGACTCAGGATTGGCTGCTGTCAGGGTTGAGGGGTCCCTACTGCTAGACACCTTAGATGGCCTGAGAACCAAGTCTACACTAGTGCTACATGGTCCAGCCACTCTCCCTCCAAGGGACCCAGCCTCCCTCCAGCCAGCCTGAGGCCCAATGTCATGTGGGGACCTCTGGGAATGACTGACTCCCATGGGTTCCTTGGCTCCTTGCCTTCCAGCCTTATCCTGCAACCAAGCCCAGGGCACGTGGGCTCTCCCTGAGCCAAGGACCCACACGTGCTGTGAACCACGGGAAAGGGAGTAAAGAGACTGGTGGCTTTTACCCTACATCTGAGGGTGGAGGGGCTGGGGAGGGACTGGAAGGGACAAGAGGTCTGTGGGAGGTCACTCCAGAGGCTGGGAAGGGACAGGAGGGATTCTGTCGCTCTCAAGTGACCTATTCAATTTCCCCCTCTTGAAGAGTCAGCACACAGGCTGAAAGATGCAGTGAGACATGAGTTTATTGGTGGAGCTGCAGTGGAGTCCTCCCTCTTTCTGGGATAGCCAAGGGCACAGCACCAACAGAGGGTTGGAGAGATAGAGCCCCAAAAAGACACATGGAGCAGACTCATAGAGACCATAGCACAGCCACATAGGCACAGAGAAACACAGGCTACAGCACCAAGAACACACACACACACACACACACACACACACACAGACAAAACCACAGGGCTAAGACACGCGGACAAAGTGCGGGCTTCGGGGCCCCTGCATAGACCGAGCGAGCGCCATGTGGGGAGGGGGCCCCTACTGACCTCCCCCAGGCATAGGCACACCAACAGCACATAGACAGGCAGATGGCCCCAGCCAGCCAGCCAGCCTGCCACACAGACAAATGGACTGCAGGGAAAGGATGTTCGTGGCTTTCCAGACCATGGGGAGAGGGCACTGCAGGCCTTCAACACACCCCGCCACACTAAGGCCCAGGAGTCCCTGCCCCTGAACTGGTCACATCTGTTCCCCTGACTCCCACCCCACTCCCCGCCACACTTTGGTCTTGCCCACTGGGGCCGGGGCTGGGGCTGAGGCTGGGGGAACTGGCAGGTGGAAGGAAGGAGAGAGGAAGGGGTATGGGCCTGGCTCGGTCCCGTCTCTGTGATCAGGGCAGCAGATCCTGAGAGTCCGGGGCTGAGCCTCGGCCTGGCAGTGGGGTGAGGGCAGGGCCATGGCTCAGGCTTGGGGAGGCTCCTGGCAACGCAGGCACTGGGCCATCTCTGGCTGGTACTGCTCGACCTGCAAGGTACAGCTGGAGAATCCAAACCGGGAGTAGAGACGGGATGAGGCTTCAGCCAGGACGGCTTCAGGGTCAGCAGTGGAGTCTGTGGGAGAGTGATAAGAGGTGGCATCCATCCCGGGGGAGTCAGGAACAGGCGGGGGCTGAGATAAGGACAGGGAAAGGGGCTGCACAGCATTAAAGCCAGGCGTGAATAGAGCCTGCTTTTCTTTCTGTATTGTATGAACAGCATAAAAATGTCAAATCAAATGTTGGAGAGACTCACCCCAATCAACGGTGCTAACACACTACACTGTTCCTAGTCTCCTATTCTCTCCTGTCACTGAGTATCCACATACAGTTCAGTGTTTGAGCAGCCATACCACCCGATTTCCCAGGACAATCCAGATGTTAAATATCTGTCTCATTGTCCCTCTAGAGTTACCATCAAATATCCCACAAATTATAATATTTTTGGCATCCAAATTGCATGTCTCTGATTGCTTCTTGCATCTGGAAGGAACCCAAAAATACTTTGTCAGCTCATGACTCACCATATATATTTTAAATAGTTGAATCATAATGTAGATGTAATTTTATATTAGGCTTTTTTTTTCTCAGCATTATACCATAAACATTTTTCCTAGTTTCTGTACAGTCTTCATAAGCATCATTTTTAACAGTTATGTGATACCTCAGGATGGAGGTGCCATCATTTACTTAACTGTGCCCCATCACTAGACCTGTCGGTACTAATGATCTTTCAAAGGATTGTTGGTTCCCTGTGTTACTTCAAAGAGGGTGAAACCGCCCCTAGAACGCTGCGTCCATGACTCCTTGTCTCCAGCATGCATGAGCACACATGCATGTGTGGTATGTGTGTGTGGGGGGGGGGAGGGAGAGAGAGAAAGAGAGAGGGAGAGAGACAGAGAAACAGGCAGATCAAGAACAGCTGAAACAGTCCCAGTAACTCAAGCTATTGTCCCATGTTGGAGGTGGGGTATGTTCCAGGTAGTAACTGGCTGGGGCCAGTGGGACTCACCAATGGCCAGGTGTGCAGAGGCAACGTGGTAAGTGAGCGTAAGGGCCCACAGGTGCAGCTCATGGGTTGCCCGGACTCCTGGCACTGACAACAGTGTATCCCGCACAGGTTCGAACCCCACATTGCGGGGGGTACCTACAACCAGCACCAGCCATGCCTTACTGCCCGGGCCACTCCTGCTCAGAAGCAGCACCCCCACCACCGGACTCCACCTCCCTTATCCTGTATCCACTCTCCTGTTGACCCCTACAATTCACCCTATGCCCAAATCCTCCTTCCAAGCAACAAACCCCATGAGCCAGGCCTTCTTCCTGTACTCTCTTCCAAGAAAAAAGTAGTGGCCCAGTGCAAGAGTAAAGTCAGACAGGGATGCAGGGGTGGGGAGCAGTGGTGACTGACTCACCTTCCATGAGGATTCGAAGAACGTCTCGGAGGGTGGGCGCTGTGGATCCAAGGGCACAGATGGAGAAGAGGAAGGTGCTGATGGGGTCAGCTGCCTTGTATTGAGGCTGCAGAGAAAGAGATCCCCAAGCCCAACAACCAGGGACCTTTCAGAGGAAGATCTAGGGGTATCCTGAAAAAACAGGACCCGAGAGGCCCCTCAAAACCCTGCAGAGGGGACAGGGAACATGACCCATGTCTGGGAGAGTCCTGGGAGGTGGGAGGAAGGAGCTGGAAGGAGGGGAAGGAGGCTTTGGCACCTGGGAAGAAGGGGGCTGGCATGTGAAGTTGTGGGGAGGAGGCTGGGGCAGGTCTCCAACAACAGTACCTTGAAGTAGATGAGGATGGAGGCAGCCAGTACCCCGAAGCTCTGCAGGAGGTCCCCCAGCACATGCACAAATGCTGCCCTGACGCTGGTGTTCCCCAGGGGCAGGGGTTCTTCAGGCCCCTCCTCCAGCGGTGCATACTCTGCTCCCCTAGACCCGTGGCTGTGGGGAGGCCCAGCCTGGTGCAGCACAAAGGCCATTCTGAGAGGGAGGCAGAGCAGCTCAGCCCAGGGGCTTGCTCCTGCCTCCTATGCCCCTCTCTCCATGCCCCATTCTCTCACCTCCCCAGCAGCCTTTTCCCAGCCCCTGGAAGAAAACTGTTTCGAAAGAGAGAGAATGCAGCCTAGGGGAAAGAATACTGGACTTGGTGCCCCACACAGGGATTTGAACGCTGGCCGTGTTACCTAAAGAGCTATGTGACTTGAGCAAGTCACCTGTCAGGATTGACTGCATTAATGGTAAACTAGGGGTAATACTACCCACCTCATGGAGTGGCTGTGTGGTTTCAGTGCAATCATGTTGATGAAAGCCCTCATCAGAGTGGCTGGCCCACGGCAGGCCCTTAACAGAGATCTGCTGGTTGAATTTTAGGTCTCTAGCCCAGACCCTTCTCAGGCACACCCAGGGCAGCCCGGGGAGAACTGTGTGTGCACATGCATGTGTCTGATGGGGAGGGGAGAGCCAGCTCTCCAATCTTGGATGAAGACCCCTTGCCCTGGGCCCCACAAGGTGCCTGCTCCATAGTGGGACGTACAACAGGTTGGCACAGACTGCAATGCTGGCGGTCAGTAGCATGGCACCCCCCTCGATGTGGTAGTCGCTGTGCAGCAGGCGGACGAAGGCCAGGTACAGGAGGATGCCAGTGACCATCCAGAGGGAGACCACAGAGGCCAAAGCCCCCAGAGTCTCTGCGGGGGGAGACAAGCTGTCAGAGACCTGCTCAGGACCCTGAGAGGTGCCCTCTGGCAAGACTGGAGAGTCATCAGCCATGCAAGGGCCTTACCTGAGCGGTGCCAGCCAAAGGTCATGGTGCGGGTGGCTGGACGGGTGGAAAGCCAGAGGGAGAAGAGGCTGCCCATCATGCTACCCACATCCGCTAGCAAGTGGGCTGCATCGGTCATGATGGCTAGGCTGTGTGCCAGATACCCGCCTGCCAGGGTGAAATGATGGAGTCTGCTTCCACTTAGAAAATATCATGTAGTGTGTATAGGCATGGAAAATAAATTGGGGGATATACACCAAAAATGTAAGTTGGGGTTTTCCTTTTTTTTTTTTTTTTTTAAGATGGGGTTTCACCATGTTGGTCAGGCTGGTCTTGAACTCCCGACCTCAGGTGATCCGCCTGCCTTGGCCTCCAAAGTGCTTGGATTACAGGTGTGAGCCACCATGCCCGGCCATGAATTGGGGTTTTCTCAGGTGATGGGATGATAGGTATAGTAACTACTGTTAACTACCGTTATGTACTTCCTTTCATTCATCTGTATTTTATAATTTTTCTACAATGATGGATTTTATTTTAATAACAAGAAAATAGGGTTTTTAAAAGGAGTCAGCCCTGACCCACTGGCCCCAGACCTCAGCTGGAATTCCCTTTGGTGCTCTGTCCCTTACCCCTCCTACTTCCTGAGTCCTGGGCACCCAGCTCCCCTATCCCAGCCATCCCCATCTCTGCATCTGCACCCAGGAACATCCCTAGGACTCTGGGCGGAGAGTGGCTTGGGCAGGTGTTGGGAGGATGGGGTTGAGGGGCTGCTCCCCAACTTACCGACCACCTCCCCCGCCATGAAGACGAAGCACACGGCACAGGCAGCATACAGCTGTTTCCGCGCATGCAGCCTCTCAGGGGTGAGCCCCAGCGGTGGCAGGGGGTCCCTGTGGCAGTGGTGGAAGGGCATCTCTACAGGTTTGGATTCCTCAGTGACAGGCTCTGAGGGCTCTGTGAAGAGACTGAGGCAAGCGACATGGTTCAACTGGGCCTGGCCCACAGGCTGGCCTGCTCACTGGCCTCATCAGACCATCTCCCGCTCCTTCCGTAGGCCTAGTGGTATCTTGGAGCTGTGCTGGCAGAGGGCCACATGAGAGATGGGGGCTAAATGAACAGGTCAGACCCCAGTCTCCCTCTTCCTTCCATACACAGAGCCATAGAATTTTACAGCTGGAAAGCACCGTACAGATGGTCTAGTCTAACTTTTTTTAAGAGATGGGGTCGGCCAGGTGCAGTGGCTCATGCCTGTAATCCCAGCACTTTGGGAGGCCAAGGTGGGCGGATCACAAGATCAGGAGATCGAGGCCATCCTGGCCAACATGGTGAGACCCCATCTCTACTAAAAAAAAAAAAAAGAAAAAAAATTAGCTGGGTGTGGTGGCATGTGCCTGTAATCCCAGCTACTTGGGAGGCTGAGGCAGGAGAATCACTTGAACCCAGGGAGGTGGAGGTTGCAGTGAGCTGAAAGCAAGCCACTGCACTCCAGCCTGACCACAGAGCAAGACTCCATCTCCCCAACCCCCCAAAAAAGGAGATGGGTTCTCGCTCTGTTTCTCAGGCTGAAGTGCAGTGGTGTGATCAGAGCTCACTGCACACTTGAGCTCCTGGCCTCAAGCGATCCTCCCACCTCAGCCTACTGAGTTGCTGGGATTACAGGCATGAGCCACTGCACCCGGCTCTAGTCTAACATTTTATTAAGTTAGAAGCATGAGGTTCACAGAGTGGGGGGACACATGGAGGCCAACCCAGATAGTTGGTAGAACTGAGAATAGACCCCAACACAATCAATTTCTTATGCTAGGCACCCCAAAATGAGCAGGATTCCTGCTGATCTCTGAGAGCGTCTGGTGAACAGGGTGAATGTGTGCCTATACTATGATATGCAGTGAAGGTAGTAGCCATTGTCATTAGAGCAGTTAAAGTGCCATCAGCGTTCTGGGGATGGAGGCCAGACGAAATAATGAGGAAATCAGGGAAACAGCTGCAGGAGGTAACATGAGAAAGGCCTTGAAGAATGGGAAGGATTTTGATAATGACAGGCGAATGCTATGCCACGCACGCGAAGGCAGTATGATGGGAAGGTAGAATGAACTGTGGAGTGGGACTCCGCACATGATCCTGGCCTTAGTGTGCCTCCTTTCCAGGCCCACCTCCCAGAGTCTCCACTCCCAGATCCTGCCCCCTCCCTCTCTAGACATGCAGCTGAAGCGTGGCCCTTTAAGAGGGAAGTGGAATGTTGGGACCCAAAAAGTCTGATTCCTGGCACAGAGAACTGATGGCTAGATTCCGGACCTGGGGTTGTCATGGGGAGGAAGGGGTACAGCCTGCTACAGCTGAGGATGACAGTGGGAGAAGCATGTTAATTGGACTTCAGTCTGACTGTAAGCACCCAGCAGAGATCACCTTAACTGCATGGTATCATAAGCCTCCCTTCACAAATGTATGGGGCTTGGGGCCTCACCTGGGGATGCCAGAGGCTGAGTGAGCTCAGGCTGAGTGCTAAGTCCATTCTGGTCCAATTCTCACCCCCGCCACTACCCAACCTGAACCCAGCAAGAACAGAATCTTCCACAGAATTCAGGACCTAAATAGAAAATACAGTACTAGAAATACTCACGGAGGTGTGACAAGAATACCCACGAGTGAAAACGATGGCTCCAGATAGAAACGTGATCATAGCTGCAAAGTGGGACTGCCAAGTGGGTGAACTGAGTTTTAAGGGAGGTAGGGGGAACATCTGGTGCTTTACTGATAGATTAATTTCTTGGATTAATTTCCAAAGCCCCATTCAAGACTTAAAATCTGGTTGTGTATGATGCTGGGTGTGCTTCCAGAGGAGATGGGATGGTGAAGGAGGCTGTGAAACCGATCCTCATTCGTTCAATGAGGTGTGCCGGGTAGAGCACACATAATGAAGCCCGGTCTGGTGGGAGAGACAGATTGTAACAAATGGCTTACTTCGCAAGGGCAGGCTGATGCTAGGAGGGTTATGAACAAAGCACTTTGGGGTGCAGGGGAGGGAGCACCCCCTCACAGGGGGCTCAGAGAACTTCACAGAGGAAGGCATGTATAAGGAGATGAGACACAGGTGGTGAAGGGTGTTCGCGACATGCAGACTGACAAAGATGAGGTGTGTGGCATGGAGTCTAAGCGTGAGGTGTCAGGAGGGCTAAGGAGGAAAGTGCTGGGCTCAAAGGAACATAAAGGGAGATCCACCGACTGGTCGAACAAATATCTCCTGAGCACTGAGATGACCTTGCTGATGGGAGGAAGAGAGGAAAGGAGAGGAGATGGAGCGGTCTAGAACAGACCAGGCCAGAGCTTCCCTGGAGGGGCAGGTAGTTTAGGAAACGCCTTTCAGAAAATGCTGCAGGATTTGGTGACTAATGGTCATCTGAGAGTGAAGATGGGCTGGAGTTGGAGATGCGAGTCTGAAGAGGAGAGGCTGGGTGGCTTTGGGGGCAGTGGGCAAGATTCATTCCCCGGCCTTGTGAGGCAACAGCACAGCCAGGCATCAAGGTGGCCACCCATCAACAGGCTGCTCCCTTTTGTTCTGCATAAATTGGGAACTAAGGAAGCCTGGCTGTTGGTGTGTGGGGGTGTGTGCATGTGGGGTGTCTACATGCTGTTTAGAGACGAGGAAAGGCCGTTTCCTCTCCCTGGCCCTCTGAAACCCCCAACAAATAACCGATAATATTGAGTGGGGAGGAAGGGTGACGTAGCAGGGGCTGAAGCAAAGTCAAAAGGATATCTGAAGAGATGCCAGGCCCACGGCAGAGCCCCCACCGCGCCTCTGCAGGCCCCTGCAGGAAGAGGTCCCGCTCCCTTCTGCTCGCCCCCCACCCCCAACCCGGCTTGAAGGCCCCCACCCAAGGAAAGAGCCAGAAGCACCACGTAAGAGACAAAGGGAGAGGGACTGGGAGAGAAACAGAAAGACTGAGAGAGATGGGGGAAGAGAAAAAGCCGGAGACCCTGCCAAATTCTGGAGACAAACGGACGGTCAGCCGACAGACAAGATGGCCCGCGGGGGTGGCCGGGGAAGCCGGGCGGCCGCTCCGAGGGGTTGGCTGACGGCGGCGGCAGCGGGCGTGGGGGCCGGCGGGGCGCGTTGGCGGTTCTCCTGCCGCCCCCGGCGCGCTGTCCCGGCCGCTCCACAAGCCTCATTTCACACCTCGCCGCCCCCGGCCCCGTCTGTGCGGAGCCGGGAATACCCCCACTGCCCAGACCGCACCTGCTCCTTCCTTGCCGCCGCCTCGCTTCCCGGCGGCTGCACGCCCCGCAGGGGTCCGCAGGACCCGCGCAGAGCCCGGCCCATCCTCGGGCCCCGGCGCCAACAGCTGGCCGAGGCTGGATGGGGCGCCCGGAGCCCCGGTGCGCGGAGGGAAGCCCCAGGGCCTACAGAGGGAGCTCTGAAGCCTGGGCAGCGAGGCGCTCCCGCCCTGGGCCCAGGGCAATGCGGACCTCGGGGCACTGGCGCCGGCCCGACGGAGCGGCAGCCGCTCCCAGGGAAGGCAGGCGCAGCGGGGGCGTTGGAGGGGTCCGGCGGCTTGGGACGCCGGCCGCGGGGTGCGGGGCCCCTTCACCGGAGGAAATTAGGCGATGAGGAGGAGACATAGCAGGCGGTCGAGGGCAGGGGTCCAGGCCTGCTGCGGCCGGGCAGTCCGTGCGGCCAGAGCGGATGAAGCGGGGTTCAGCGGAGCCAAGGGACTAGCGGTACGCGGGGATGCCAGCCAGGGTCCGCGCCGAGGGAGACAATGAAATGGACGGAGGGTAGTGGGGTGGTGCCCCCGGGCCGAGGGCCAGCCCAGGTCTGTCCTACCTCTTCAAACGCAGGCTGCCTCCGGCGCCACCGCCGTCCCGGGGGCTCACCAGGCGAGTGGTCTCCGAGCCCCCCGCGGCAGGAGAGGGCTCCATGTTCCTGCTGCCCCGACCGTCTAGGCCCCACCGAGAGAGGGAGAGGAGGGGCCGGCCCCGCGCCGAGTCCGAGCAGCCCGGCGATGCCCGGGCTCCCCGCAGGGCGGCGGGGCCACCAGAGTGGAGCGAACTGCAGCGACTGTGGCGCGCGGAGTCCGAACTGCAGATCCCGCTGCCGCCGGAGCCCCGCCCCGCGTGGGGCGAGCTCCCGAAGCCCCGCCTCCAGGCTCCCCAGCCTCTCCCCACGCCTAAGCCTCGCCCCCACGGCCAAAGCCCATTTCCCCTCCCCAGACCCCGGTGGGGACGGCGGGAGCGCCCCGCCACCCGAGTTCTGGAGAACTCAGCTCCACAGCCCCATCCCCTAGGCGAGTTAGCCCCACCTCTGCACAAAGCCCCGCCCACCGGTTCCCAGCTAGCCCCTCAAGCCCAGGGACCTCATGATCAATCTTCGCCCAACGACCACCACTTTGTGCGTGCCCGCACGGGAGTGTTGCCCACCACGCCGTCACCCTGTGGCCCCAGTCCTCACGCGGAGGCAGAAACAGGCGTACCCATTACCTATCTCCGGAGAACCAGAAAGAATGTGAGGTGAGCGGTGACACATAGGGAGATTCCAGGGACTCCAGAAACCCCTCTGCGGAGGATCTGGAGTCGGAATTCATGAGACAAATCTGCTGCCAATCACTGTACCTCTAATGATCATTTATTTTCATACAGAAACATTGGGTGACAAGCTCCCTGCTCTCCTCCAATCCATTATTATCCCTGCTTTTCAAATGAATAAACTGAGACCCAAAGGAAGAAGTAAGCGTCCAAGGTCATGTAGGCTGTGAATAAAGGGCCCGGCCTGGACGCCCATGCTCTTTCTCTCCCTGGCTCTGGACGCTGCACTGGCGACTGGAGAGCGCGCACAGACCTCTTACGGGCGGGGCGGCCAGTGGAGCCGAGTAGCCTCACTGGTGTCACGGCCACTGTTTATGGAGTGGGGCTGAGGGACAGCGTGTCAGCTAGTGATTCCCATCCTCCACACCTGCAGCGCCCTCCCGAGCATTACCGCATTTTGCCTCATTTGGGGCAAACTAAAACCTAGGGGAGGGAGAGACTTACAGCAAAGTCGGTGGCCGAGCCTCAAGTCGAAGCTTCAAATGCTCAATGTTCTCTCCCCTCACACCTGCCACCACTGTAGAATGGGAGGGGTAGGAAGAGGATTGTGCACTCGAAGCTGTGACAGTCTGTGAAGAGGAGGGTCCGTAGGAGGAGGGGAGAGAGTCAGCAGGGATAGGGAAGCGTGGAGGGTGGGAATGGTTAGTGAGCCCAGGCAAGAAACTCATCAACCGCATCTTTCAGAACACACTGGGCGTCCTGAACTTAGGGTTCTGAGGACAGACACCTACTCTCATCATTGTTATTCCAAGGAGACTACGAGTGGACTTGCAAAACAAAACAAACAAAACAAAAACGGGAGCATGTGCCAGATACTGTGCTGGAAGTGATGGGGTTAACCCGGGAGAGCTTCGCGGAGGAGGTGAGGCTTAAACGGATTAGGCAAGCTGGGCGGCGGGCTGGCTGTTCCGGCGGGGGAAGAGTGTAGCTTGGCTCGTGCCAAGGTGTGCGGGAGGCGCGTGCAAAGGACTGTCCTGCACGGTGGCTGCGGAGCGACACAGGAGAGCGACAGGGGCTGCAAGCGCCCTCCCTGCCCCCGCCTGCGCCAGCCTCTCCTCCGCGCCCGCCCCCGGCCTCTCCCCCAAAGGCCCGGCCCAAAGCCCACGCAGGGTGAGGGGGCAAGGGAGCGAGGGGTCTTTCTCCCTCCAACCTCCCCGTAAGGCACGGGACTTGAGGGACCCCTGTTCCTCCTTGGGTCACAGGGAGAGACACTGAGGCGGCGAGAGGGGGAAGCCACCTGCCAAGGTCACCCTGCCTGGCTATTTGTCAGAGCCAAGGTGGAACCCAAGTCCCTGCCTGGCTATGCCAGGGCTCCGGGTATGTCCGGCCCGGCGCCGTCGGTTTTCTAAGCGCCGCACCCATCCTAGGCTCTCCCCAATTCTGAGCCCTGGAGCTGGCATACGCAGGGGCCACCGCACTCTGCGGCTCAGATGCGATAGCCTGGCTTGTAGCTACCCGGGCGGGTGAGCTTGAGAATGGGGAGAAACTGAGGGGCCCTATGCGGGTAACGGGATTCTTGGCAAGGCTCAGTCAATGACGACAACAGGGGACAAAACAATGGCTTCCTCCGGGATTTCCCTTCCTTAGCAGCCCCGAGTGCCGGGAGGGGGCGCAGACGCCCGCACGTGCCCCGCCCGCCCCCGCCGGGAGCCAGCAGGCGGGGAAGGCAGAGGCTCCTTGCAGCGCGTGGCCAAACGTGCCGCCTCCAGAAGCCAAGGGCTCTGGCGGTGGGAATACCAACTTTCACTTGAAAATTTATGTAAGGAAAGCTTGGCAGCGAAACAGGGTGCTTGCACCTGTTCCTCAAAGAGCTATCAAATGGCCCTATGAAAATCTTTGCAAAGGGTCCTCGTGAATGTCAGGCCCCAAGAAGTCAGCCGGGCGCCGTGGCTCACGTCTGCAAACCCAGCGCTTTGGGAGGCTGAGGCGGGCAGATCACTTGAGGCCAAGGGTTTGAGACCAGCCTGGCCAACGTGGTGAAACTCGTCTCTACTAAAATTACAAAAATTAGCTGGGCATGGTGGCGCATGCCTCCTCATGCCCAACTGACGAGGCTGAGGCAGAAGAATCGCTTGAACCCCTGAGGCAGAGGTTGCAGTGAGCTGAGACCTCTGCACTCCAGCCCGGGCAACAGAGCAAGAGACTCCATTTCAAAAAACAAAACAAAAAAAAGTCATGCTACACCTAGATAGGAGATAGGAAAATTACCCAGGGGTTGGAAAAGTCAGCTTAGGGCTGGTGCCCTATATGGACTGTAGTCTTGTAAGAAGTATTTATTCAACATTCATTCTCTGCCATGTACCCTTCTAGCTTACATGCGGATTGGTGGTGAACAAGACAGACACATTCCCTCCCCTCCAGACTCTAACTTGATTGCAAGAGATTTCTGCTTTCCAGTCCATCCTTACTGATGTATCCATGTGCTCTTACAGCCTATCCTGTCCTGCCTCAAGTACCAATCTTCTGTAAGGTGAGTCATTAGGCCGCCTTCAGTCCCAAAGGTGTGATGGAGACAAGAATGCCAGCTTCCAAAAGGCCTCTGGCAGAACAGGCTAAATGAGGACTGCAGGGGGACCCAGACTAGAAGTCCATGCTGGACCAGTTCATAATGGGAGAGTAGAGCGACTCTTTGCACTGAGGTAAGGATTTAAGCTGGGCTGGAGATTTCAGGCAAAATTTAGAATGCAAGCCTGTGGACAAAGTTAACACCTGACAAATCCAAGCCAAGCTGAAGAGCATGGACAGAAGAGGCAATCTGGAGATCAACTTCTACTCCATTCTCCTCAGATGTCACCTCCAGGAAGCCTTTCCTGAATTCTCCCAGACTGGGTGTGTGTCTCTCCCTGCTTCTCTCAAGGCTCACATTGTGCTTATCTGATCCCGGCACTCACCTCATGGTGATGAAGTCCTTTGCTTGTCTGTCTCCTTGCTAGAGAGCAAGCTCCCTGAAGGCAGGAATTGTGTCTTTCTCAACTGTGTCCCCAAGCCCCACTAATGCCTGGCACATAGTCCTCAATTAAGCCATCCCAGAAAGGAGGAGCTAGTTGAGTGGAAGCAGAATGGAGGAAGAAGGATTTTAGCTTGTCACAGGGAGAATGAGGGAGAGTGGCAGCTTAAATGTCACTGCCTCAGGGAGGCCTTCCCTGGCCCCCACATTAAGTTAATTCTCATGTCGTACACTCTCATCACACAATACTTTTTTGTTTGTTTTCTTTTTTGAGACAGAAGCTCACTCTGTTGCTCAGGTTGGAATACAGTGGTACCAGCATGACTCACCACAGCTTTGAACTCCTAGACCCAAGTGATCCTCCTGCCTCAGCCTCCCACGTAGCTGGGACTACAGGTGTGCACCACCACATCCAGCTAATTTTTTTTTTTTTTTTTTTGCATTTTTTGTAAAGACGAGTTTCACCATGCTGCCCAGGCTGGTCTCGGACTCCTGGGCTCAGGCAATCCTCCCACCTCAGCCTCCCAAAGTGCTGGGATTACAGGTGTGAGCCACTGTGCCTGGCCAACACACTAAATTTTCTTTCAGCACTGATCATACTATAACTAAACTGTTATTTGGGATTATTTGTTTCACCATTTGGCTTCCAGGCTACCATAATCTGGTTTTCCTCCTACTTCATTGGCTGTTTATTTTCAGTTCCCTTTGCTGGTTCTTCCCCATCTTCTCAATCTTCTAGTGCTGAATTAGCCTAGGCCTTGGTCACTCTATTTTCTTTCCACACTCACTCCCACGGAGCTATTATCCAGTTTCTGGTCTTTAAATACCATCCAATAACAGCAGACTAATGATTGTTGAAGCTAGATGCTGGGTACACAGAGAGTCATTGCACCATTCTATTTTTGTATGGGTATGAATTTTTCTTTATTTTGATATGGAGTCTCGCACTGTCGCCCAGGCTGTAGTGCAGTGGTGTGATCTCGGCTCACTGTAATCTCTACCTCCTGGGTTCATGCAATTCTCCTGCCTCAGCCTCCTAAGTAGCTGAGACTACAGGCATGCGCCACCATGCACAGCTATTTTTTTTTGTATTTTTGGTAGAGACGGGGTTTCACCATGTTGGCCAGGATGGTTTTGATCTCCTGACCTCATGATCCACCCACCTCGGCCTCCCAAAGTGCTGGGATTACAGGTGTGAGCCACCGTGCCCAGCCGGGTTTGAATTTTTCTATTAAAAAGGATTAAAAAGAGCCAGTCATGGTGGCTCACACCTGTAATCCCAGCACTTTGGGAGGCTGAGGCAGGCAGATCACTTGAGGTCAGGAGTTCAAGACCAACCTGGCCAACATGGTGAAACACCGTCTCTACCAAAAATATAAAAAATTAGCTGGGTGTGATGACACACACCTGTAACCCCAGCTACTTGGGAGGCTGAGGTAGGAGAATCACTTGAACCTTGGAGGCAGAAGTTGCAGTGGGCCGAAATCATGCTACTGCACTCCAGCCTGGGTGACAGCGTGAGACTCCATCTCAAAAATAAACAAATAAATAAATAATAAATGACATCTGTATGGTGGCGATTCTCTTTGCTCATAGCATCATACAAGATGCAAAACGATCTTTGAAATCTGGCAGTGAACTCTATGACCTTATGGCAATTTACCCTTCTGAACTCATTGTCTACTGTTGTCCTAAAGTGAACTTTTCACAGCAATCAAACAGGTCTCCTCATTAAATACTTCTGTTTTTTCTCATCTCTTTACCATTGCCCTCACACCATTTCTCCCCATAAACTGTCCTTTTCCTTAATTCACTTACTAAACAAATATTAACCAAGCACTGGTATATACCTAGTACCTTGGATACAATGATAAGTGGTCAAACTCTTCCCTCCCTCATAGTTTAGAGCCTCATATGGGAGACAGAGTTCATTAAGACCTTCAACAAATGTTTACTGGGTACTATTACATACCACACCCTGTTCTGGGGTACAGCAGCTTCCAAAACAGACAGAATTTCTGCCATCATGAAGCTCACATTCTGGCAACAGGGGAAGACAGTAAACAAAATGAGTAAAATATTTGAAAAAAAAAATTATCAAGCTTTTTGTTGTCAACCAAAGAAAGCATTGTTGAAGTAACCGCTGAGCTAAAGCCGGCCCTTATCAAGCTTTTTAAAACTAAGTTTGGAGAAAAGAATGAGTCTACAGCCCAGTGAGGCTTGGGTTTTGAGCTTCATTATCTTCAAATAGTCATAACATGAACAGAAATAGAGAAACAAACAAAACAAAACAAAAAACCAAGCAGTCTGGGGGCAATATGATGAATTCAGATTTTAGAGTGTGGTTTTTCTTTTTCTTCTCTTTCTTGAGATGGAGTCTCGCTCTGTCACCCAGGCTGGGGTGCAGTGGTGCAATCGCAGCTCACTGAAACCTCTGCCTACCAGGTTCAAGCAATTCTCTTCCCTCAGCCTCCCAAGTAGCTGGGACTACAGGCGTGTGCCACCACCCCCAGCTAATTTTTTGTATTTTCAGTAGAGATAAGGTTTCACTGTGTTAGCCAGGATGCTCTTGATCTCCCAACCTCGTGATCCACCAGCCTGGGCCTTCCAAAGTGCTGGGATTA